TTAACTGCTGAACCAGTTTAATCTGCTTATATGCCTAAAATGCAAGGGTTTCTCTTCTTGCCACTTCCCTTTCTGCAGTCAGGGCTGACTGCACGTGGTCTTGCTGCAACCAGTCCTTCTTTCCCTGCAGTTACAGTGAAATACTTCAGCTGCATATGAGGTCTTGTAGGGTTTTGACCCAGTAAAACTTTCTTCTGCTTTTGGGGCTAGTGTTTGAGAAAAGCAGATACATTGGCAATTCAGTGAATATCTTGCAGCTTCTAGGGCAAAAAAGCTGGTTTAAAGATTATTCCTCTCATCAGAATAATGATGCTCCAAAATTTCCAGGATGGGCCAATAAGATAATTTTGCTGGAAGAGGTGAACAGGGGAAAAGGGATCTTTTTAAGGCACCGTGAACCTGATGCAGCACCTGAAACTTCTGGTGTAATTTCTGGCATAATTCCAGTATGAAAAGCATGGAGCAAAGTGTCATCTAGTGAGGTTTTCAGATGGAAATACATCTTAGTGGGAATTAAGAATTTCTGTAAATCACACTGGGTACCAATCAGCATCCTAAAGTGCTTTAAAAATCTGGACCTTGTAGGTGTTTTGCTTCAGACTTTCATCTGAAGTGAAATAATGGTACCGCTCCGTACCACGTGAGGACACAAAAGTGACACAGTAAAATCTCCAAACATGTGGAAGTTTATTAACTATCATAGCAATGAGTCTCATACAATCACATGGCTCTACAGTGTTTAGGAGAGCATGGGTTAAATTACAGCTGTTGTTAGAAGTATGAGGTCATACTTAATGTGTACATATTGAGTAACAAGGAACCAAAATACTGGCAGAGCTCAGGGCTAGCGAAATATTTAAAGAGACCATGGTTCTCTTCAGTTTACATAATTGGTAAATACTGAATCATCATTACCAATGAAGGAATATTTTGTATATGTAATTTATTTACTGAAATACACCCTCTTTGTTTAAATAAACCAGTCCATAATACAGACCAGGTCTGATAAATCGTTTGTTTGCAAACAACTTCAAATGTTTCAATAATACATTTTTATCTTGAGCAAAAAAACTCCAAAGGCATAAAACCACCGCAAATTATAACAAAGCACTTGGTCTGACTTGAAACAACACCTTTTCAACTCAGCCCCCAAACTGAACAACAACAGCAAAGTCACAAAAGTTGTACTCGCCATCTTTTTAAGTGTTGTACTTGGGAGGTGACTTTAAAGTTGGTATTAGATGCCTACCATTTCTTGGACTACATACTGCAAAAAATGCTGCATAGGTTGACTAAATAGGGGTTCTCATCAATAAAACTCTCCTGTAGCAAAAAACTGTAAAGTAAAAAGAGCAGTAAAAATAGCAGACTGAGCAAGCGTTCATCCCTAGGGAGCCACTTTAAACTTATCTCTGACGGACAAGCCACAGTTTTGCCCGGATTAACCCTCTTTTTAACAGTACACAGTGACATCCATTACTGCTGTTCGCTATTTAGAAATACTATTGTTGAAGAGTCCCAATTTTAGTAACCCTCTCCAGGAAGCAAGGAGGAGTGTGAGCAGACGGAGAGGGGAGGGAAGGAAGGGTTACAGAGAGGAGAAACTGAAAGCCTGAGCAGAGCCAGGGGGGTGGTGTGCGTGTCACCAGATTAAATCCCGAGGCTTCAGTGAATCCTGTTCAAACAGACTTTTTGGAAAAGTACACAGAAATGCCCATAAAGTGAGAAACTTCCAAAGTCGGGGCAAAACTCCCACAGTCTCTATTATCTGAGATCAGTCCTTTAAACAAAATTCATTAACCTTCCTCCCTTTCTCAGTTTCACTTTTCAGTGTCGTCTTGGGTGAACAAGTGTCTCGGTGTTCACAGATTTGAAAATACCAAAGTAACAACATCTATTAGATCAGATTTTCTTTCACTTACCTTGCACCTCAGCTTTTATGGGCTCTGGGTGTTCTTCTTTATTTCTACCAAATATCATCTCCATCTCTCATGTAACGAAGAGTTTCTGTGTCCTCTACCCAGCTGTTCCCGAGCTGTAGTGGTCCCCGCGTCTGGGCTAAGAACAGCCCTTTCCTGTTACATATAAAGATAAGGTCAAAGTTCAGTGTGAGTGAGCTGGTGGCTTATAGACTGAAAATTTAAAATAGTTGGTCATTAATCCCTAGCACATACACTATAATTCTTGCACATTCCCATTCAAATTAACTCTTTCACCGATCCAAAGGAGAAATAAGAAAAACGTAACTCGCCTGTTTGCTCCTTCTGAACGCCCCCCTGGAGCAGCCAGGACACCCAGGGAGTGGGGTAGAACGACCCTGAAACGTCCCCTTCAGCCTTTCAGGGGGAATTGTAGACAGTCTCTTGGGGTGTTTGTCCCATTTGGCAGGTAGGGAGGGAAAAAGAAATCTCTACCCACTGTTCTGAATGAGAAACATTTCAAAGCAGAGTGTTATCTCTGCCTTTCCATACTGCGCAATTTGAACCAGGCTGTTCTACTAATTAACAAAATATCATCACTGGACAGACATGCCTTGTATTTCTTCAGATACAAGCTGCTCCAGAGTGAAATCTTTGAACTAAACATCTTTTCACAAATAATCACTACAACATATTCGCCTATATGTGACCTGAATCCACTCCGTGAAAGTATGGCAGGAATCATGAAAAATAAGGGGGATTTTAAACTTCACGCTTTTGTTTCTAGATAAGGTACTTAACCGAGTTCAATGTTGTTCATGTTAAAATCCTCTGGGAAAAGAATTATTTCAATATAAAGCATGTGATTACAGAGCAAATCATAGGCTCCATTGAACATGAAGGATAAAAAGATTCTTTGCACAATTATATATTATGCAATTTTATATGAGGTTACCTAAAATCCGATTTTTCAGCTAAATCACCGTTGTTCTCAAAATGTTTTAACATCACTTCTTAAGGCTGATCTATTATAAATATACGTATTTATTTTATTTCAAACACATTTTTTTAAATTAAAACACATCTTTTATTTCAAACACAATTTGTGCCACAGACCGCTCTGACACACTTGTTACGCACTGCTGCTCCCTTCCTAACCCACTGTCTGTTCGATGGCTTGTCTTCGCTTCGGGAGATCATCAAGACAGCATGACCTTGTTTCCGTGTGGAAAACACTGACAGAAGCAGGTGGTAACAAAATAAGAAGCCAGAGTAAAACAGAAAATACATGGGCTTGGTTGGAATTAGGGGTATTAGCAAACAGCAGGACTGAACCAGAAGGCTGTAGGAGATGAAGGGTGTCAAAGTCCGCATACGTCACATATGCAGATAGATGTACACAAACGTACACGTACGCATGGCGTGCACCTATGTGAGTGTGTGTGGACTGAGATGTAGACTTCCTTGCATACAAGTAAGGGATTTTCCAGCAAAGTTAGAGCCTGGAAAGGGTCTGGCAAAAAAGCAAAGCTACCTAACTCTACTCTCCCTGAGCCACAGGGATGTTTTCTCTGTCTGTGATGTTCTTCTTTGCCTGAATATGTTTGCTTCGGCGTAGACTCATCCATCTGCATGGCTGCAGCTCTTCATGCTGCGCTTGCAGTATCTGACCTGTGAGCGCTCTAATCTGTAGCAGTTCTAAGAAGATTTCCAAAGAGCAAGCAAGCAATAAAAAAGATTAATTCAAGCCACTTTTGCCCTTCTCCACCATGACTGTTCCTGTAGTTTAAGGTTCAGCCAAGATGAAATAAATGGAAACCTTGTTATAAGTTGTTTGAGGGGAAGAAGGAGCTGCAGATATCCAACAACTTTTGAATTCAACCTAAATGTGTTTGGGGAGCTAATTTCAGGTGTCTGTGTCCAAACGTTTTGTCCCACATTTTGTACCACTTAAAGAAGCAGGCCTTGCGAAGTTTGGTTTTCCTGCTTGTCAGTGAAAAATACCCCATTTACCACTAGAACACTTTTTTTTGTTGTTTTCTTTTCATCACGCTAATGACAGATAAGCAGTTTAGTAAGGTATGGAGAGATGAACTTTCTTGCTGCCTAAGTTTCCCCATTTTACACTGAAATGGAGAAATATCCAAGCATTGATTATAATGTGCAATTATCAGCAGAAGTAGATGTGGATTAAGTGACTTTTCTAATCTTATTATTTCGCAATGTTTCTTCTCCCTTTGTGAAAACACGTGTTTGATGGGAGAGAATGGGGAAGGTTATACCACTCCACGTTCTAGAGAATGCAGGGGAAATAGAAGCCCCTGTGGAGAGACTACCAGCAGCTCTTTGATCTTGAGTTTACCAGACACATCCTAACTCCTATCTGTAATGTTTACAAACATAATAAACTCAGGGAGACTGTGCTGTCTTACTCTTCCCAGTAAGGAATGTTGAAAACATGATCCTCAAAGTAAACAATCCCACGGTTTGTGTAGCCTCCCCTGATGCCTGACTTTATTTACAAACACTAGCCACCTGCAGCATCTTCCAAATACCAATCTTCCCCCAAGCAAAGCCAGCATTTCTCCCCACAGTTTCCCCTCTCTCTTTATGCCTCGTGACATTTTTGAAGTTATCACAGGCAGCATTTCTTCACTGTGTTTTTTTCTGCTTTAAACAGCTGTGATGAAGGCTACAGGCTGTTTGCTTTTGGGTTCTTTCTGGCTTTCACTTCCATCCAGTCTCTGAGAGCCTCAAGCTCCCCTCCCAGATGTAAAAAGGGCCATGGAGACATCTTCGGAGCAAAGCATGACTGCCAGCACTGCTCTGGCTCTACCCTGTGGCCATGCAAAGCTGGGAGTGACACTGACCGTGTGATCTGTGGTCAATCGAAACAAAACTTCCCAAGGCAGAGAGGCTGGTTAACTAAATTTCTGATGTAACAATAACATCATTGCCATGTGTCTACCTTTGTACTTCTGGTTCACTTCCACAAGAAGCAAATACTTGCCTTAGAGATCAGAGAGAGAAATCAATATTATTCCTAATCTCTATATTGAAATGTAAGTACTTAATTTACTTTAATCTCAACTTTGCTCTTATAAAATTTGAGTTCTAATTAAAGCCCATTAACAAAGGTCAAATTACCTGAATATGACTTTAAGCTGTGCTAAGAACTTTCAACTACCAACTGTTATCTATTACAACCAAATAAAGACTCAAATAGTAAAACTGATACGAACTTACACGTTGTTCTTGCTGAAATCACACTGATTGCTATTTCCCTGTGCCAGAGATATAAGCCCTTATCTTTGTTAAATACCGTCTTATTGACATGGTCTCATTTCAAAATATTCCGACAGCACAGTCTAGGAATACTTCTCTTGCAGCGTCTGAGTATAACTGCAAACAGAAACTGTGAATGCAGTTTGTTCAAATTTAAATCACAATAGTTTCCATATACTATTCTGACCAGGTTTTGTTTGGATCAAAAGAGTTTTGGTCAGATACTGTTTTGATCAGTATTATTTGAATCAAAATATCTATTTTTGTGAGGTTTTAATTTTTTTGATGAGGTTTTAAATTTTTATGAGATTTTTGTGAAATTTCACAATTTTTTTGTGATCGACAAAAATATGGTTTTCTTTCATGTGGTCATATTTTCAACACACTTCACCAGAAATACTGATTTGAATAAAACCAGAATGTAACTTAGTATTAAAACTCCTTAAGTGCTGAAGCAGAGAACTGCTAGCCTACCCACACTAGAATCCAACCAGGCTGAGCCTAGCCAGTGATCACGATGCCCAAGCATTTAAATGCCCGAGCATTTCAGCACCAGACATTCGAACAGGTCAACAGCCACAATACCCACATAAACTTCCTCACTGTAAGCTCATCGGTGCCTTTCAACCTCCCAGGACTATTTACATGTTTTAATATTTAGTGTGTTACGCAGTTCAGTAATGTGTTTCCAGGTGGGCAGGATGACAACATGAAGGTTGGCATTCACGTCCACGGGGGAAGGTGTAGAAATGGTGTTACAGCGACAGAAGTTACTGCTGCTACACCCTGTCCTACCTTTCAGACTCCTGTTTTCTGTTCACTGTGGGAAAACATAAGAGAAGAACTAAAAAGAACTGCTTTCTGGTTTCAGTCAGGTGGGATCTGAGTGTAGAGGGCATCACAGAAAAGCAGTGTTCCTGAGCAGAGAGACTGCTGCACCTCCAGTCTTCCCACTGTGGGGATTGTGAAGCTGATCTCTCTCGTAAGGTGTTGGAAAGCTACTGATGAGATACCTTATTAATGAAACCAACTTGTAACACAGCTTCTTTCTTTATATTTTCATGTCCTGTAAGCTCAGAAATAGCTCATAACAAGCAAAAAAAAGCGTGTAACAAACTTAACTAAATCAAACAGGCGGGGGAAGCTGGACTGCCTTAGAGATCAGGCCAGTCCTACGCTGATGGAAATCTGGAGTGACTGCAGAGACACTAGTGGAGTTGTGACAGCTGTAGATCCAGATCCAAGCAATTTTATTTTGCTTCTCCATGTGCTAGGAAGATTTCGGTCCATTTGTACCTATCAGTTAATGTTTTACCCTAAGAGGGTACCTTTAATCCTTAGAACAGTTCTCTTATTAAGATACTGAGGTAAGGGCACATCTAAATTGTGCCACTGAGGCAGGCATGATCGCAAGAACACCTGAGCTGTCAGCAGATGCTTCAGACAGTTCTGGTACTTCCTGTGTGAATTCAAGGCTAACCTTAGCCATCAATAACCCCAGTTTGATTAACGTTCTCACAGGCACACTTACCCTCTTCTTCCCAACAGCCAAAGCTCTGCTCTGGAAGGCAATGAAACATAGGAACTAGCTGGGAAAGAGGGAGGTACTGAGGCATCAGCTGTATGCAGGTGAGGAAAGCCAAGGTACAAGCCCAAAGGCAATACCAAAGGCTTCTGACAGTACAGTTCCTAGGAGAAGATCCTCAAGGACTTACCCAGGCAACGTTTGTGTCAGAAGGTAACCATACAGATCCTATAAACAGAAATTACGTCCAGCCCAGCAACTCCTGACTGTAGTCCTACTTATCTTTATCCTGACCCCATCACGCCAGGCATGAATGTCTAATTTAATTATTGCACCTTGTCAAGATAAGAATTGTTTTCCTTGTTTTTCTGAAGAAGATAACATCAAAGTTGCAACTTGGCAGGGCTCACTGGTAAGTTCACTGTGTTGCTACATGGAAAATGAGTAGAGCAACAACAAAATCCTTTTCTGTCAGCAGATAACGGGGTCTCACCATCAGGACCAGCAGCCCAGGAGAGCTGCACGGAAGGAAGTTGATTGTGACCCTCCTTATTAAACTAATTGGCAGACGGGCTTTTTTAGAAGCCTGCTGGAGGGATGGAAGATGTAGGTGTACCTAGGGCCTTTTCTGCATCCCTTCCCAGACAGTCTACTCAGCACTCAGTGCTTCCTACCTATTTGGGTAATAACAAAACACATCTTTTTACAAGGCCGTTCTGTACACTGCAGAAGTGTACGTGACACACTAAAATTATCCACTCACAATCTTATCTCAGGTTAATGATACCTGAAAATAATCTTTTTTCAACCTCAAAGCCAAAGTAATATGAATCAGTTTTCCATTTATATGATTATTCAGTTCATAGAAGAGAGATGTATTTCTAGTCCTGATAAAATCTATACGTTACATTCAGTAATATTCAGGAATGTAAGGATGGTAATACCCTCCTATAGAAAGTAAATTTATTTGTTTTTCCTCAAGGCAAATGAACAGCTGCCAAACAGGAATGGGGGTGTGATTTATTCCTTCCCATTGGCAGCTCTTCCTTAACTCTTCAAATCTAGGACTTTCTGGCCTCATTAAGGTTTGTCAAGCTATTCTGCAGTGCTGTGATGCCCTTTTGAATCACAGGATGCTCTCAGGCTGTCGTGATGCACCTGTAATCTGCACCAGGGTACAAACCAGGACCACCCCGAAGTCAGTGGCAGCTCCATGCCTCTCCTCCTTGTTTGTACACTCAGATGTACAATAGCCCTATGAAACTACTGATTTTTCTCAGGTCTGGGACACCAAAGCTCAGAAATAGAAAAGTCTATGAATGAGCCATGTTCTCCTAATAGCAGTAGTCGGTCATGGAGAAATTTGCAGCTATATTCAGGGTGACCTGACCTACAGATCTATTGATTACGCTGAACAAGAATTCAGGATTGTATTTTTCAAAAATTGCAAGACAGTGCTTGGTGCATAATTTGAGGCATGAGAGGCTGATTTGCAAAGGTGTCAAGGTGAGCCTACCACACACGTTAGATAAGCACTGAGTGTACTCATCTCCTCTTTGTAAGAATTTAGGCATATAATGCTAAACTTTCCAAATGGCATATCACTTACACATATAGATTAAATAAAAAATTAATAACCAGTTATGAGTACTTTGAGATTTTGCTACCAAAACTGAGCTGGTTTTAAGGGGTTCCATTTTTAGGAGTGGTGAACACCACCTAGAAGATTCCCTTACAGAATCCCAGGTAGGCTACCATTATGTTTTTTAACACTTATTCACTCCGTCAGCATCATAAACAAAAAATGCTTCGGTTTTCTTTTACTTCAAGACCTTCTACTTCCAACAACAACAACAACAGAATTAATAAACTTTGAAGGATCCATTTGAAAGCCAGAAATAAATAATTTTGTGTTTTTAAATAGCACAATGCTTTTCTGAAGAAACTTTCTCTTGATGGCCACCATCTGGTGTAACTCATAGGGGCAAGTTAGGACTCTCTAAGAGACCTGAAGGGCCCCCTAAAACATTTCTGAGAAAAGTGAAAGACTTATTCCAAGGGAGTTCACAAACAAAGGAGTTATTCATAGCTTTCTCACAGCTTGGAGCCAGCGTGTGAAAATATTGAGAAAGCTTTGTCACTAATTTCTAGTCAAAGCTTGCAAAACACAATTGCTTTGCAAGCCTTTTTTTAGCTGGTGAATATGTTTTAGTTTAAGTCACTGGTACATAACATGTGCTGTAAGGGTGGTTGCCACAACAGCCTTTCAGACAGAGAGCTGTAACTGAGCAAGGATAAACACGTCTTGGCTATATGCAAGGGGCTCCTAGTCCTTAAGGGCAATGCTTGCGTGCGGACTTTTCGGTCGTGAGTCTGCCCCGCTTCTTCAGAACCATGCAAAAGGCAAACAAAATACCAGCAAGTGAATGGGTTTGGTGTATCCAAAATCTACGGAGTTGACATTATGCTTGACACTTCCCTGAGGTTACGGAGTGGGTTTACAGCACCTGGAAGGGGTCAGTTACTCTCCCATGGGCAGCCAGTAGAGGAGAACTCACTGTAACTGCCAGCCCCCTTGAGACAATGAGAGCTCTTATGAAGCTGCCTTTTGAAACGTGCACAATGAGATCGTACAGCACGGCGACCATCCTGTCTCTTGCACACTAGTGTACGTGACTATTAAGTAACTTATTAAACTATTTAAATTATTGACATTCAGCAAACTATACAAAGGCAAATAGCAAAAATAAATCCCCAACAACAATACAAAACCCCCCCAACACTGGAGTGTGAAGCTTCCACCCAGACCTCTGCATAAGAAAACTATTTAAAAAAAAGTCTTTCTGTTGAGGAAGAATACAAGAGGCATGTCTCCTACAACATGGTGAATTCAGGGAGCACTGTTTATTTGTAATCAAGCCATTTTTCACTTACGAGTGAAAAGGGCTTTCAGGCATTTTCTCTCTTCCTGAGGACCCCAGTTGCTAATTCTGATGCTTTAAAAGCAGTGTTTTCTTTTCTGTAAATGCTTTCCTCCTCCCTCTGGTAAACAGAATAAACTGACAGACTGCTTTACAAGCACTAAAATATATGAAGACAACAAACTGCAAAAGAGGGAAACTGTCTTTCTTCCATTCCCCATCTGCTGCAGGCAGCTGAAGAGTTACTTATAGCAACCGCAGATTGGGAAAAAAATTCACATTGCTGAAGAAATCGCAAACAGCAGACTCACTTGGAGAGCTTGGCTTTATGTGTAGACATTTCCAAACATTATTTGTTCTTTTTTAGGGTCTGTTTCAAAATCCGTCAAAGCCAGAGACAAGACTTACATTAATTTAACGGCTTTGGAGCAGATTCACAGGGGATAGCCTGTGGCACCTCCAGCTCTGGCGATCTTAGCGCTGAAGCCTAGGGAGTTTTGTATGCAGCCCAGAAGGGACTCCTAATTTGCAGACATCCTCAACTGAACCAGCTGATGATCAATAGTTAGATGGTCTCTTCCAGGAAGGGGATGGGTGTTTGGGCACTGAGTGGGCCAGATCCATCAGCTAATTAGAATATGGATTGGCCTTCTCCGGAGCTGGGAAACCCAGTCCGAATATTCACATCTCAGCTGCTCCATAAGCCCTACCTATTAATCAGTCAGAAATTAATGTGGGATTTGATTCAAGGGTTCCATAGTTGAGGTAGGTCTTGAGTTCAAGCGTGGTGGGAAAGGAGACATCCAGCATAGTGTCTATCCCTCCATCACAGTGCATTTTCTTCCCCTTTCCTCTCCACACCCACAACTGTCCTACCCATTAAACACTTGCACAGTCCTACTTGATCCGGCTGAGCAAGGTGATTGTGAACCGGAGACCCAGAAAGGCCGTGGGACTGAAGATCACTCTTAAATGCTTACTGGATGCAGTACACACGCTACTTTGCACGAAAGCTTTGGCATTAGAGCTGGACTGGCAGACTGTGCGGCATGTGCATTACCTTCTGCCCAACAGTGCGATGCAGGGGGCATTTCTGCAATGCGGGAATTCGACCAAACACCACTGCTTCCTGCACCTCTGGGATCCATGGCTAAAGCGAAGTGCACGTTCTTTCAGTGTCACGCTGTGGTGGTATAAATTAATCATAATTGCATCCAACTCAATGGAGTTAATGCCAAGGACAGGAGGACTGCAATAGCTGAAAATCCTTACTCTTGCTGTATTTCTGCTAATCTAGTGGCCTCATAAACCCAGTGGGTATCTTTTCTAAGGAAGTTCAGAAGCGCTTAGGGATTTCAGCTCCTGAGTGTTGTTGGGCTGGCTTCCCGAAGTCCATCAGCAGCCTTTGGAATGTGCATATAAGGGCTCCCAAGTAGTTCTGATTATTAAGGTAAAACTTTCCTCTTTTCTAAATCAGTTTTCAACTTCTGACCTTCTCTTCTACCTTCTAGCAGGCAAAAATACTGTAGCTCTATATAGCTCAGCAGCTTGGCTTTCAAGGGATGATGGGAGCATCTCACTTGGGGTGTGGAGTTCTAAAGACACAGCACTTCAGAATGAAGCTTACTTGGGACAGCTGAGATTAACCTGCGTATGCGTAAACAGGTGGGCAGGATGAATATGGTACAATAATTATAGACATTGCATTAGCATCCAAAAGAAGCACCTCAAATAATAATTATTAAAAATAAAGCAATCCAAAACAATTGCATGTATCTAGAGGAGCACTGTGTTTTCCCATCTCATAACTCCTTGTGTTTCTCATTTTCCTCATTCTCCTCTCTTTCTTGCCATTGTATCTCTTTGTTGTTGTTGTCAAGACCTCCAGCTTTAATGCTCACACAATGATGCCTTTGATGTAGGAGCTTTATCTCGCTTTCCCATGTGTCCAACAGCAGCATATATCACCTTTATCTTCTCTGCTCATGAGGGAAAGCAATACTCTAATGTCTTCTCTTCAAACTGACCTCACACGGAATGAGACATTTATACAATAGGCCTTACAATGGCCACTGCAGTGACGCAGCATCCACACCTCTTGTGTGCCTCCTCAGACGCAATCGCCATTATATATTAGAAGCAACCTGTTCCATGTTCTGTTCCTGCTGTTGTTGCAAGCAGCAAAGAGGAAGGAGGGAGGCTGATAACATGACACGGATGACATCTCAAGCTTTTGAAGAAGGCAGCAAAAAGGGTGGCGATGTGATATGCAAGAAGAGTGCCACACAGGGCACTGAGCTGAGGATGTGGCTTGGGATCGCAGTTCTAATTTCTCTTGCTCTATGTATGGCGGTGGAGGAAGCAACTATTGAGGAAGGAATGCCCTGCTCAAGGTTCCTGCTACGAGTTTGTTAGACTCCAGCGCACCTTCACAAGTGCCCAGAGCTGGTGTGAGAGAGGAGGAGGGCACCTTGTCTTTATTGAAAATGAGGAAACTCAAGAGTTCTTGCAAGACCATATTGCTGAGGATCAGGAATGGTGGATAGGACTGATCTCAAACTCCTTGCTGAATGAAACTACTGATGGTAGGTGGTTTTGATATAATGTCTTCTTTAAAACTGTATCAGCCCATGATGCTTCCTTAACATGGCAACAAATGCACTTAGTCCCTCCATAGACACCTGCTGAAAAGCCACTGTCTGTTGTTGCTGTAACTTCAGATTTCTATTAAGATGTTTTAATTGCCTGCTTCACCTCCCAGTTGCATGCTGTCACCCTTTCCACTAGATCTTGTGGTTGTGCGAGCACATGGCGAATTAAATTAGCTTGCTGACCCAGTGAAAAAAATGTGCTTCTCCAGTGGAAGAGCAAGCTGAGCCTATTCATCACACCAGGAAGTGCTGCAAGATCTGATGCAAGGGATATGGCGGAATCTTGAGGCTGGGAGCACAGGGGGAGGTGCAGGGTCTCTTTTTAATAATTATGTCAGTTTAAATATAAAATGTAATTGAAGATCCCTATGCAGACTGAACCCCCTCTGCTTCAGTAGGAAGCCTGCTCTGCAGGCTAAGACTCTGTAATTGTGTTACTGTGGAAAATAAACATTCAGGACAATTACTTTGTTCACAGGGTCAGTGATATGGCTGGACACTTCAGATATAAGCTACAGTAACTGGTACAAGGATCAGCCCTCTCTCTTCTCACCTGCATGTGGGCACATCCTGAAGAATGCCAAGTATCAGTGGGGTGTGACTGAAAACTGCAGCCAGGAATTTGACTTCATCTGCGAGTTTGGTAAGATACACAGCAGCTGGAAGCGAGAAGTGAGCATGCCGTGGTCACAACTGCGCCTAAACTGTCGTGTTGCTTCCAAAGTGGCTGCACAATAACTTAATCAAGCTTATTAAAAGTGAACAAGCAAAAATCCATATAACCCCAGCAGGTGCTCTTCTTCCAGGGCACTGATGTAAGATCTGACACAAGAAATGAAGAACCCTGAAATCACTGGGAGGTATAGGTGCTCAGCAGCTAGCCATTAAGGTCCAGGTTTCCAATAGAGGGCTAGTAAAATAGAAATGGATCTGAAAGTGAAATTAAATGTGTAGCAGTGGACAGAAGCTAGCTAGTTTGAAGTCAGTGTGAGAAGTGCAGAATAGCATGGTTGCAAGAATAAGCTCCCACAACACCACAATACCTGAGCTAGGTGGGACTTGTATGACTGCCCTGGAAAAACACTCTTATTAATCATAAATATGTGCCAAAATAATTTCCATTTGTAACTGAAGCGAAAATATAGCCAGGCTTCCAGAGACAGAGACTTTGCTTACTCAAAGTAAAGCAAAAAGCAAATAAGCAAAAGCAAGAGCAAGTTTTTCTGGTTTCTTCTCAGTCCCTTGCTCAGGTGAAGTTCAAGGGCCTCCCCAGGACAAGGAAGCAGACAGGACCCTGTAATTCCCAGCGGCAGTTTAGTGCTCAGACAGGAAACCTACAGACATGGTGTCCCTTACACTGTGACTTGGTTTTTTTTTCCGGCAGTATCATCCCATTCAACATACAGATAGGAGGGGAATTTGTGTTCCTTGCACTTTGCAGGCATTTTAAACCGTGCTGCAGCTAAGGTCATAAGCACTGGGGGGACAGCCTGGCTGTAGGCTCACTAACATAAAAACTCTCTGAATCCAGTGTGCAAGTACAGGTTTCCACAAGCCCTAGAACTGCGGCTGCCCTGCTCCAGTACTGTACTACTGACATAATTAACAAGGCATTCCGCAATCAGTAAAACTAATAGTTTTGTTTCCTGTCCTGGTTTTCTGTTCCACATTCCCTCCCTCCCCTCCTCTTCAGCACTCCCAGTCCGCTCCCATGTCGCCAGCACATCTCACCTCTGCAAATAGTTTTTGCTCCCTCAGCTCCTGCCCTGGCAGTTCTGCAGCTGTAGGTGGTGGCCAGCCGATGCCACATCAGCTGCAGGTGTTGGCCAGGTGAATCCCACATCCTGGAACTGACAAACATTGGGTTATAGTCCCTACTCCTAATAGAGGCACTGATGTTAACCCTTTCTCTTCTACCTAGCTATTACTTTTCATGAACTTCTAGGGTGTTTTGAGGTTTATAACTATACATCAAATTTGGCTGAAGATGACTAACATTAAAAATTATTGGAGGAGAGGAAATGGGCAGACAGCATGATCCTTAAGCTTATTTTCCTTGCAAAGACAGGCTAAAATTATTTTTCCATTACAACCACAGTAGACAACTGTCTGTCTGTAAGGCAACTATCATCTGTTACCATAGGATCTGACTTAAAGCCCATTAAATTCAAAGAGTGTTTGCACTATTGAGCAACAATGTCTTAGACTACATCCATCATTCCATTGCCCAGGAAACTGAGAACAGATGGAGGCAATTACAGCCTTGTTTTCACTATCTTCAGTCCAGGGCCATTAATGCAGTCTCACTAACAGTGTAGCCACCTCTTTTACCAGCTTTGCATGCCAGCAGTTAAATCCAATACCTCAAAGAGATGGGCATTACTGTCATTAGTTTCCCTGGGTGCTGAATGTTTGGACTTCTCGAAAGCTGACAGTGCTGAAGTGTGTCTCTGTAAGATGGGCACAGCGATACTTAACACCTTCACACACAGCTACTGAGAGTTTGAAACTTCCGATGAAACGGGTAACTTACCTACGTGATCATCTGAGAGTTATACCTGTACAAACAACTAACCAGGCAGCCTTCTGCCTTCATCCTTCCTTTGGTCACCTATCCTAACGTTATTTGTGTTTCTCAGTGCAAGTAAAAACTTTCCTTATTATTATTTCTTATGGTTTCTATTCCACCATTTGGTGCTCTGTACGTTAGCAATATGTTGTAGTAAAAATATATGTAATGAACCAGGGTTTGTAGATAGGAACCCAAACCAGGTTCTCTACATTTTTCCATGTAGAAGAGGCTGAGACAATAAATGCTATGGGAAGTATACAAAGTAAAGAAAAAATGTATGAGATGATAGTCTGCATTAGAATTTAACAGCAAATTATTTTTCAAGCTTAGAGAGCTCTAATCTGTAAACTGATCATGTTGCTATAGTTACAGTAAGGCTTAGATTTAGCCTTTAAATAACAATAGCACACAATTACTGCAGTGTGCACACTTTGGCACTGTTAATCAAGGTGCTTAAGGGGAATGATCAAAAGAGCAACCTGAGGACAATGTATTTAAACCTGAGACAGCTGAAACAAGAACAGTCTTTCGCAACACTCAGTCTTTCGCATCCTCCTCTTCAGGGTATAAAGTATCCTGACTACTACAGGATACTAAGAAATCTGAAAGATAATTAACTGTCCCAGATGAATCAAAGAATGAAGTGTACACATTTAGAGATATGACCTTACTCAGTTGAGCAGTCCTGCCAAATGAAGTCAGTCAAATATCACACAGGAACAAAGGTGTCTCTGTAGCAGAAATGGGATCAGGTCCCATACTCAAAATGCAAATTATTCTCTGGAGCAATTACCTGAATATCATGGAAATCGAACACCGCCACAAGGCTCTTTTAGAAATAAGGAGTAACTTCAAACCTTCCAGTACTACAGGTCAACACATGATGAATGTTTTCAAGAAAAATACGTTTATTTTTTCAATTAAAATGTTTTGGTTCATTAAAAGTGTTCTTTTTTGTTGTTGTTGTTTAAGACACTAAAAACCATAAAACTATTATTTTGGATTTCTAAAAAGCAGAAGGGTTTTTTTTTTCTCCTATTAGAATCTGGCCAGAGCATTGCTTGTAATAATTACAACGCCACTGTACAATGTGGATCAGGAGAAGTTATTCAAATTGGAGAGAGCTTCTACGGACGGAAGACCCCCCACTACTGTGTATCAGAGACTCCCCTCCAGTATGACACAAATGACAACTGTAGCTGGATCAGTGTCAAAGACGAAGTAGCAGGTAGTATCTTATGGCATTGCTTCTCAGAAGCATAGGGTATGTGCCAAAGTTCCTAAAATACTGTATCTTGAATGTTAGCAGTTAGTGAATAGGAAAGTGGGTTATTCCTAAAATGAAGGGAATCACAGACAACTGACGTGGAGGAGGTTTCCACAGGAGGCTGGATGGAAAGGAGGGATTTTGTGAGAAGCAAAGATTCAGAGGAGAGGGGCAGCAAATGGAAAGCATGGAGTCCTCTCACTCTCTAAAGAAAATACATGGGCACACTGATTCCCAATGAACTCGATGGGAGACCCTAGGTTTGACAGAGGTGGAAGAGAACACATCCATGCTAGGAGGGGTGAAGAGGCAGGCACCCACGGGGACAGGAGGGCTGGAGGGATCTGCTGCTGCCTGCCGCGTGTCGAGTACAGAGCTGGCTGGAGCCACAGGGCTCCATGCCTGCCAGACTAAACTGTGAGTATGCCCGGTCCCTATGGTGATTCTTTGGGCTTCCAGCCAAACTTAAACAAAACACACTGCTCCTTTTCTTCTTTACCCTGTCTAATTCAGGTTTATGCCAATAAAGTGGAACGGGGCTAAGAAATACCACTGAAGTCCAAGTGATGGGGGGTGTGTGTCTAGAAGTCAGTGACACGATATTGCTTCCCCTCCCTTTTTTGTTTCTGTAATCATCTCTCCTCTGGGCTGGTATGACAGTCAAAGACAAAACCCACTCATTCATACTCTTCCTTCCAGGCCAGTGTCACGGTCTTCAGGCCTGCCAGGTGGCAGCGGATGGTGATTTCTTTGGAGATCCTTGTCCAGCTTCTGGAAGCTATTTGTCTGTTCAATACCACTGCAAGGAAGGTAAGTGGGAGAGGGCTGTAAGCTCCAAAGTCCTGCTGTAACACCACAATATTTATCTTAAAAATCATGGCTCCATCCTCATCAAAGAACCTGGAAGAGTGGTGACCTCTAAAAATAGGCACCAAAATGTAGCTTCCCTGTCCTAACTGGGGGTTTTTGATAGGATACAAAGGCAGAAAATTCAGACACATAAAACACACTTAAATGAAATTATTTTTCAACAAGAATCTTGACCACTAGGTATGGAAAAGAATCAGCTCCTGGCACACCACTAATGCACTCAAACTAGCAGCAGTATCAACTCTGTTTTGGAGAAAGTCTGCTCTCAGTACATGAAAATTAACTGAATTACGAAGTCATGAAATGTAGACAAACAATGGCATTGAATTCTGTCATTATGTTTCACAGGTCTGCAGCTGGTTGTGACAGATACATGTTTTGTCTCTGAAAACATCACGGTCACTTTGAAGTGGCTGCTCTCTCCGTTCTCTGGCAACCTTTCCTGTATCATTAGCACCGGAGATGGCCACACTGTTGATCCTTACTACCCTCTAACGTAAGATACATCCTTCATGTACCATCAGACAACCAGTACTTTTCACTGCTTGCTGTTTATTGAATGTTTCAAGTCTCTTAAATGAGATGTTAAAAATCAAGTGGATTACTAGTAATAGACCATATGTATAAGACACTTGGTGTCTGCAGAAACTTGTTCTGAAATTAATACAAAATTTTATGTCAAGTTGCCAACCACAGTCTTTCTTCTGCTTAATATGATACCTGTTTCTTACTAAGGGAAAACATGTCAGTAACTGCCAAAGAAACAGGCAAGTGTAATTTTCTTAAGTTTAAAGTGTATATTTTTATAACATTCAAAATAACACAATGGCATTCTCGAGTTTTTATTGTATTTTAATTGCATAAGAATTGTGCCTTTAGAGGATCCAACATTTTTCTGCTGGATTTAAAAACTGGATTTTGTCCTATTGCTAGGAATGACAGAGAATGTCTCTAGAAATGTATTTGTCTACTATAGGAATCTTACTTGAATCAACTAGAAAAACAGGAGTAGAAGAATGAAACCAAAAATTAGTAATGTACTAAAAATAGTAAGTTTTCTTTCAGAGCTACAGACATAGGCCTGTAGCTGTGAAGAATTTGAAAAAAAATTCTGATAGTGAACCTTTAAGTGAAATATATTTCTATTTGCTAGCTGTGAGCAGAGGCTGGCTGTTGTCATGGGAAGCCCTTTTCCCACCTACCCAATGGCTCACAGTCATGCTCATCTGTGTTATGCATCCAGTTTCATACCCGCTCTTACATGGTTTGCCTTTTCTGGTCTGGCATTTTTTTGAAGTCCAGTAAGAATGAAACTTTTTTCTTCATTAAAACAGCTAATGAAAAATATGCATTGTCAAGAATGATATGTCCTGACCTTTGTTTGCATTTGCTAGGTGGTAGCATGAATATAAACAGTTCAGAGAGAATAGTGTCAGGAATATTACTTACTTGCCTTCCATGGTCTATGTCATTCAAGAAGGATACCCTCAGTTTCTTTTTACCATCTCCCTACGCTTGTTAGTAATAACAGCAGCTACCGCTGGCTTCTTCATATCCATTCATCTCCTGTTGCTATCACAGCCGGAGCTGCAGCAGACCCAGGAGTGAAGAGACACTTCTGCCAGCATGGGGAAGTATAAAAGCAGCTGCACATAAAAAAACCCAAAGAGTAAGGGAGTACTCTGACAAAATGCTGAGCAGTCTCAGCGTCCACTGATACATCTAAGGGATGGTAAATCAGGTCTAAAATCAAGAGTAGAGAAATTCAGGGCACTGTTACATGTTCGAATGTGCGTAGTCACACGTCTGTGCCCAAAGCCAACAGGACACAGACCACATCTAATGCCACAAGTTACAGAACTGTCATCTACCTACTTTACAGCAGAATGTATCCATCCTTCTCGATGTGCTTTGAGAACAACCACCCCTGATATGCAACCTTAATGACACCGTAGCTGAGACAAAGGAAAAATTATCAACCCAAACATTCTGTGTAAATAAACGAGGGATTACAGGGATTGCAGGAGAGCTCAGTCAGGTCATAAATTTGGGAACTGTGACCACAGTTATCAAGTAAGGCTAAGGACTCCCCAGGATAGTCTTCCACAACAAGCAGCTCTTCTCTTTCTGTTCTAGACTGGTCAGCAGTGTCACATACAGTTATTCATCTCCTGGAGAATTTACTGTTTTTGTGGAATGCACCACCAGCGAATGGCATGTGATGGCACAGAAGCGGGTGACTGTTCATGATAAGATGGATCGACTGAGCATTACTGGGTGCTACAGCCAGTATGAATCTGGGAACAGCTCTCACTGCCGTACGCTCTATGGGGAGTTGCTGTGGATTCAAGCCGAACTCAATGGAGGTGAGGGTAATTACTCTGCATGATTTAAATGTCAGGCTAAACATTATGCTACCCATGGGATAGAAGTAGGATTTTCATTATGCAAACAATACTTCTTTTTAGCAAATGCTTTCTCCTGCAAGTGAATGCTCCCAGCTCCATTGGAGGGGTTCTTTCTCAGAGCTATTGCACAACCTCAAACATAAGTATAAACTCTTTTTCCCTCTACACAAAGTTGACAAAGCATAAGCATAACTTTAGTCACATGAATCCACATGAAGCCAGTAGGAATATTTCCGTATCTGAAGCTAGGAATCCACAGAACTGCTTCCCTGAATGAGGGTAAGCGTATTCCACACTGAGCTGGTCACTTTTGCCAGTGTATATTTTATTCCCACTTCAAGGTCCTGGAATACACATATATGTTTAAAAAATAAAACTCAGTAGTTTATGTTTGAATTCTCTTGACTGCCCTAACACTCCCAGCAGAAAACACGTGATAGACTTCCATAGGGAGCCTAGAGGGGCCAAAAAGCCTGCAGTGCTGCAGTGGTCTTGTGACCCCTCTATAAACATGGGAATGCTGCACAAAGCAGCTAGAGGTGGATGACCAATTACGCAAGCTGTGTGAAATTTCCAACTGTCTTTTTGCAGGCAATAGAGTGACCTACGTGATATTAGCAGATAACAGGACACTCACTGAATCCAGTGCAAAGGAAGGCATCGTCCCTCACAATCTGACACTCGATAGGGCCTCTCAAGAGCTGCTAGGCCCAGGGATACACCAGCTGGAAATCCGAGCATCCAGCAACACGACCGCATCGGAGATCTCTGAGAACATTGCTGTGAACTTAATTGAGCCAGTATCTGGTCTTCAGGCTGCATTAGCTTCTCACACTCTGCAGCTGGGGGAGGATTTGGAGATAAATGTCTCTGTGTCTCATGGTGCCCCAGATAAGCTGAAGTTTGAGGTGACTGGATCTAATGAAACTCACTCCCACAAAGACGACGGCCCTCGTGGGGAACCTCGAACGTACCTGGTTCCCATGCGCTCGGAAGGTACGGCGTGCTGACATCCGCGTGGCTAAGGCACTCACAGCTGAGCCGAGGAGGTCACAGAAACAGTCACAGCACCCCACGGCAGCTGAATTTGGTAGCTTTTCTAGCTGCTCAGACTTGGTCTGCAGAACAATAGGAACAGCACAGTCTTATTGACTTATACGGGAGTTAAAAATATTGAACTGGTACATGGGTTCTCCAGAGGGAGACTGAAAGCAAGGCTTCACCTGATTCCTGCAAAAAAAGGACATAGCGAACCAGGGTTTATTTTTTCATGACACGATGTGATTCAAGTACAAATGATGACATTTTCCTGAATCACAAAGTGTTTTCCTCCTGTTTGTTCATATGTATAACTTTTCAAGTTGACACTCCTCTGCTTTTTAGACTGCAGTAATTAATAATCTGAGGAGTTCTCTGTAGAGATGACAAAGAGAAGGGGAGCTTTTCTGTGAGATGGTCTCCAACACGTAGTTTCTGTTGGATTTACTTATGAATATGCTTTTTAGTAATTTTTTTCTTTCCATTATTAAGAAATCAAAGCCTTTAAAATGTGGGATTAGGAAGATTGTCCTTAAGAGTTAATTCAGTGGCAAAAGATAAAAAATGTTTCCTCCTCTAATGAACTATTCAAATTCCATGCCAAAGCTGGTTTCATTTGATGTTTTAAAATTATCCAGTATTAAAAGTTTTACTGGTTCTCCCTATACTCATTTGAACATCCCTTCCCTTCAGGCAGAAACTTTCCAACAAGACGGCTGGTCTCTCAAGATTCTCATCTGGACTCCAGTAGTAGCACACGTCTAGTTTCCTGTGCAGTAATACCATAGCCAGCTGACAAGGAATAGCATTGCAAGTGCTGGGACAAAGGCAGCTGAGTTATCAAAAAGCTGAGATAAAGGGGACAACATTCCTTGAAAAGCCTTTCAGCAGTGGAAACTGATCAGAAAAATCCCAAAGCTCTTAACAGAAAAGAATAGGATTTTCTTTATGGGTTGGATTTTATACCCCAAACACGATGGTCTGGTCCCACTGCTGTTCTTAACTGGCCATTTGTCTTCTCTAGGTACATTCCTAGTGAAAGTGGTGGCCATGAATGCCTTCTCAAACATGAGCCTGGATCTCAGGTTCGTCACCGTGTTGGCAAACAGTTCTCACACAGAAAGTAAGTGCTTTAATCTGACAGTACCGGCTTTGACCACCTAAGCGTCTTTTTGCAGTCGGAGCATTTCATGGAGTGTTTATGGTTTGCATCTCATAACTGCTTTCCTTCCAGCAAGAGTGCTGAAAACTTCTGTGGAGACTTCTTCCTGAGGAAGGCAGATTCCCTGGCTTTGAAGTAGTCACAAATCAGCATCACTCTGTATATGTTACACACTGCACATTTGCTATTTGTCCTAGAAACAATTAGTGGTTTATGACTTGGGACATAGCTTTGAAACCAGGAAATATTTGCATCACAGCAGTCTCATAAATTTCTGCCAGTAAGTGCTTTGCGATGGCTCATCCTTACATTTGCCAAAGCAGATTATACCAGGAATAAAGTGACTTCAGTACTAATCCTGTTGAGACTTTTCCAGTGCTTTCCCTGAATTTTTCTTTCTATATTGATGAAACTCCATTGCCTCCCGTGAATTTATTTTGATTTACACCATTATGTTTGAAGAAGCGGGATCATCTTAACAGTATGTGACTAGGTTGTTGTTACAATTCTACCTATCGTACCTAGAGTGTTTGTCACAGTTCTAGAGTCTCCTTCTTACAGCCCTATCTTTCAGACCGTCCGTAGTCAAATTGTGTCTATTTAAGTCATATTCACGGAGGATGTCTGAAAGCTTCACAGGTAGCGCTAAAACATTCTGCTCTTGTCTGTGTTAAGCAGATTCTGCTAAGGAAGAAGGCAGCTCCAAAACAAATACTCAAAAGACAAATGTAAGTATTGTTTTAGGATCTTTCTTTGAAACTGAAATGCTTAGATTGGTTTTTTTACCAATAAAAATGCTACGTAAGATACTCCAGAGAAGTATTTGTAGCATACTAGATTATGGACCAGATTTTTTGTGCCCCCTATGGTTTAACATAAAATCTACACTGAAAGTCTCTGAGACAAATGTGTTTACAGGCATTCAGTGTACAATGTGTACAAGCCTGCAAGAAACAATTACAAGATTAGAGAAAATTAACTTTTCACAGTGATTCAGTTTTTGAAAGTTGAAAGGTGAATTTTTAAACTCTTTACTTGACTAATGGAAACCTCTCTTTGAGGGGCTACCCTTCAAGAAGAGTTCAATATATTCTTACACTGTTTCTGTTCCCCGCCTCTGTACTGGGAAGTTTAAGTTCCTTTGCAAAGAGAAATTATAAATTCAGGGCAAACTGAGAAACTAATGATATCCCAGTTGCTAGCAGCCGCACAAATTTAAATAATAAAATTTACAGATATCATATTTTGTTATCATCATAAAGGTCTAGGTTTTAACCAGAACACTAGCAGACAGATGTCTGCTGTAGGAGACGTGCTGCTCCACAAGAAGGCATCATGCTTTACAGATGGCCCGTAAGAATATATTGCATCAGAGGATATCAATCTAATTCAAAACTAGCTTTATCACACTTTGTTGCACAGAAAGACAAATTCAGCCACCTCCATCTTCCCTTTATCTATAGCTGTAATGCACTAGAAGATGCACTAGAAGACAAGGTTGTCCAATGGTTAAAAGTCTTGGTTCAGAAGTGGAAAATGAATGGGAATTCATTTCATAAGTACCCACATTAGTTTTGCAAATGGGAGCTGGGCTCCTAGTCCACTTATGAGTTTAGGATTATTTTGCCACACAATTTCTCAGTGCCATCTGCTTCTATTCCCATAACTTCCACTTCCATACTATTGCTGATCAGGGAAAGATCATTTAAACCACAGGTCTGCATACAGTGATTTGGGGTCTAAACTTTCAGACCTTTTCATTACAAAGAAGTAAGATACATACGTGTTTATACATGCTCCTGCCTTAACTGATACATTTACTTATTATTCAGAATCACAAAAGAAAAACCAAAATATATATTAAACCAAGTCGCCATGTGGATCTTTTCACAACTGTTACGCTTGGCTGGCCAGACAACACCAGCAAGTCCAGTTTTCTCTGGTCCTGTGGTACGTGCATTTCCTGAACCTTTCCACCAACGATTATTTGATGAATAACAAACTCACTGTCATGTCAGATCAAGTGGTAAAATCTAACTAAAGGATGGTTTACTCAAGGACAGTCTGGATGAGGCTTGGAGCAACCTGGTCTAGTGCAAAGTGTCCCTGCCCATGGCAGGGGGGTTGGAACTAGCTGATCTTTAAGGTCCCTTCCCACCCAAACCAGTCTGTGATTCTACTCTCTGGCTTTGAACTTTGCCACTCACTGTACCTGAAGAACGTCCTTCTACCTTACCCTGGTTTTAATGCTGACATAATTATGGGGTATAATCCGGCATAGTACTCAGTTTTTGTCTTCTCCCAAAGGTGGCTACTCCTAGGTTTCAATTCTTCAAGATCTGCACATCCTAAACCCTCATCCTAATAGCTAAGAATTAATCCCAAGTGATTTACCTAGTTAGGCTTTTGCAAGATACATGTGTCTCAATAAAACAGCAGTAAATAGCATCAAATATGATGCAAAAACATTTATGTCTGAAAACTGGATTAAGATTCAGGACATCTGTGTTCTGTCCCCATATTTATCCCTGGCCTCATACATTACTTTGGAGAAGTCAGCCTGTACTCCGAACTCTGATTACCCACCCCTTAAATTGGCTCCATAAAGCTCGACAGCAGAAAAGTCCTTTGTAAGAGACATGGGATTATGACTGTTCTAATTATAAACAAAATGTTTTGCAGGTTCTTGCTGGCCTGAGTGGAAGGAATGTGTGCAGCAACAGAGAATCCTAACCAACCAAACCGAGGTGCAAATCCCACCTTCCTGCCTTCCTCTTCCAAAGTCAGCAGTGACTGTCAGGGTTACAGTCCGAAACCATGGCAATGAAGAGAGGCAGGATGAGCAATGTCTCTATGTGACTGCAAAACATGAACTGCAACTAGAAATCAGGTCTGTTTTTAAACCATAATACTCACTGCTTAATTTTATTGCATAATGCAAGGCCACAGATTCCAATAATAATGATAATAAATTGATAAAGTACTTACTGTTGGAAATCTATTTATGCCTTACCATCATAGGAATTACAGACAAAATGGGTCTTGCTGCCTTTTTCAGCGCACACTTCTGAACACAATCCTTTTATAAACTGAATAATATTCTTCCCCAAACCATTTAAGGGTTTTGACCCCACTACATCCTTCCAATGTTGGAGATTTCCATATGCTAACTTCATTGAAACAATGGGAATAAAAGCCATAAGAAATGTCTGAAATTCCTACTAGACCCCAGATATATATTACTGCTTTAAAAAATCTGTTCTTCAAGAGCCTAGTGCCTCAATAAAGAACAGTGGCATTTCAATGATCTCTTAATGTAATAATTTCAGGAGCTTAAATAGAGACAGGCTTCATTTGAGAGCCCAAATCAGTTTTGCAGCATAAATAATTTGTGAGTTCTGGGCATCAGTCACGTTGAAAATGGCGATGAAGGTTCCTAAATCTCTTGCTTTAAAATAAAGTATTTCGCTATTGGTGAGTCATGTGTCTCCTGTCTCATATTGCAGGGATTTTGCTGATTTTCATCAAATGAGTAAAACATCAAGGACTACCGCATCTTATCCAGTTACTACCTGTAACTACCGTCTTCATCCCTTACAGGTGTGAGGCCAACTGCAAGCCAGTGAACGTTAGTGAGGAGGTTGTTCTGAGAGTCTCTGGACAGAAGGACTCCCAGATCATCTATTACAACTGGTATTTAGATAACACATTCCAAACCAAGGTGAGAGCATCAGATTTGTCAGAAATACTGCATGCACAAAACCAAACAGCAGTCCTGAGGGAATGCCACGTAGCCTGAGTGTGATACTTTGTCAAACGGATGCTTTGGGAATACCAGTGAGGATTGAGACAAGGGGGTGCTGGGTTTTGGAGGGGTTATAATGAAGGGCACCAAATTATCACCATGCTCTGATAAATCACAACAGAAAGCACAGCAAAGAGCCTCTACTCCCACGTTTTCTTTTCTGTCGCATTTTCCAGCCTGCACCCCTCCCTCCAGCCTGTGGCCTGGCCGGTTTCCGGCAGAGCTCTTTGAGTTTGCTTCAAAGCAACACGTCCGTGTTGAAAATGAACAGCTCCTTCTTGCAGGCACAGGGAGAAGCTTTTCAGATTAAAGTAACAGGTAGGGGCAAGCAGGGTTCTTCAGACTCCTTTGAGATACTTTCTGCCATCAGGACGTCACACTGACGTTACACACTCTGCCTCGCTAAGTTAAACCATTCCACAAATTGAAAGGGGTTACTTTATATGTGGGTTCTTTAAAACAATTCAGAACTAAGTTTGTTCTGGGCTGTTGCACAGCAGGACAAATGCAGTTGTCTTACTCCAAGCTGTTAATAACTTTAAGGGGCAGTTGGAAATGAAGTTACACTAAATACCTGATCAAATAAACCAGGTTTGCTTTATAATGGAAACATGACCATGTTTTTAATAGATCTGTTCACTTTACGGCTTATTCAGTAGCAGGATTTCGTTTCTGATTAAGCCCACCCTGATGTGCCTGAACAAACAGCACCGTTATTAGAGTAACTGACGTCTGAAGATCAGTGCTGCCGGGGCACGATCATTAGTGACATCTTGCTCCCTCCGCTCCCAGCAGTGACCCAGCGTGGCTATGGGGAGGACACGTACCTCGTCAGCACGGTGCCTCTGCCCGACATCCCCAGCTGTGCCGTGTCTCCCGAGCAGGGATCGGTGCTCACCGCGTTCACAGTCTCCTGCAGCGCTCCTTGCCTGGCGGATCCATGCCAATCCACTCCTCACAGGCAGCTCACATACTGCTTCTACCTGAAATCAAGTAGGTCCTGAGGTGAACTCCGGCTAACTGCTTCCCCGTGTTTGCAGCAAACACTGTCACTGTTGCTAACAAGTGCAAAGGCACAACCTGCTCGCACTCCCTGGCGTGACTGAGTCAATCAGGCCTACACAGACCAAGCCTGAAGCCCTGTTCTTAGCCAACAGGAGGGCTCAGGGTGGTGCCTGGTAGCTGACCCCCTCTTTCCTCTTTCAGATTCTCTCCTGCACTGTGGCCCAGATCCTGAACTCTTCCCAGTTTATCTTCCACTTGGAGAAAAGGAAAATAATTTCATTTTACATATGACAATTACTGTTAGCAACAGCTATGGCGATACAGTTCACACTAATGCTTCAGTGAAGGTACATCGCAGAATTACTTTATTTCAAGATTTCTCAGCTTGATACCTAACCTGTGATCCACTTGTGGAGCTTCTTCCCATTTCACACTTATTGCTTCCCCCCGAATGGGCCATCATCACCACTTTCCTAACAGACACTATTCTCTGTGGACTCAGCGTAGTCAAAAGAAACTTCCACTGTCCTTTTTTTAAGGACAGGAGTTTAAAAGACGATGTATCTGGACATTGAGCAGCATAAGCTGTGTTTAGTGAGTCTGGAGTTACTCTGTGTAGACCCCAGAAAACTCCTGCTTCCGCCCCAGTTCCTCAGTAAGGAGATCCTTATCAGGCCACTAAACAAAAACCCCACATGAAAAATGGGGAACACAGTTTTCTGACCCACTCTACTCAGGCTGTCAGTAAGATGATCGTGCAAGCTGTTAAAAGATAATTATAACAGTGTTAGCAACATTACGAGCATATCTGATTTTGTCATCAGGTCAGACACACGGATATGATCGCTGGGAACCTGACCCTGCAGGATATTGTATCTGAGAAGGCAAACACCATCCTGAAAGATGGGAACACCAGCATGAGCCTTTTCCAGCTGTATAAGTCAGTGGCATCTGTCCTTAATGAGGAGACCCAAGAGGAAAGCTTTAACGTATCCTTACAGATGGACACACGAAAAGAGGTCAGCCAGACACTTGTTTTCTTCCAGTACTGTACAATGTAATGGGCTCCTCATATTCTTGGACAGCTCTTAAGTAATAAAATGCTCATGTATCACCACCTGAAATCAATGGAGGTTTCAAGTTTCTCGTCTCTGCTCCAGTGTTTGGCACAGGTTTCAGCTACTTTTCACTATTTGCCCACAGAAATAAATTGTTTTATCATCCATCAGTAAAAGAATTCAGTCTCAATGATTATCACATTAACTTAAGCTAATTTGGATGGTCTTTTTAAACGTAAAATCAACATGATTTTCCACAAACAATTTAAATATAAAATAGCCTCTTGTGCAGGAGAAATAACTTGTGTAATTTCCAAAAAAAGTACCAGGTGGCAGGTAATTTTAGTTTTTTCCTTTCAGCTACCAGCTTAGGTTTCAGTTATAAGCTTATATTTGTACAGTGCTTTGAGTGCCTCAGATGAAAAAGATCTAGGGAAATGCAATGTATCCTTCAATTATGATTCATTATTTGAGTAACGCCAGTCACACAGGGCTCTGCATTCTTTGGAAGTGGCATTTATACAGTAATTCACATACATTAGTACAAATTCTCACAAGTAACTCTCCTTGCTATTAATGGAGCTTAAGTGTATAAATTCTCTGTGTTGGGAGGTAAGATACAACTGGTGATTATATAGTTACTAAGGCAAGTGGCATCTTGTCAGTAGACCTAATATCGGTTCAATGATCCTTGTTATGGAGTCTTACTCTACTGCATAATTTACAACAAGCCTGGCTGTCAATATACAGCACTACTTGTGCAGTCCTAATTAGCATCTTATTCCTTTGCTTAATTATCCCTTTTCATCCCAAGCTCCGAGAGCTGATGCTGACAACTCTCTCTGCTGTTAACGTAACATCAGTGCAGACTGCTCTTAAGATGTCAGAAGTGTTGAAAGAAATCACCTACAGGAGTGAGGAGCTGTCTGTCTCAGCACAGGTAAGAAGCAGGTCATCTCCTCACACTAATAGCATAAACTCTACTGCACCCCTCTGACCTTGGAAGAGTTTTGGTGCCCTACAGTTATCTGTTCTTTACGCATTTTTTTCAACTCTACCAGCATATGTATTTTGACTAGAAGGGAATACATTTTACTGTCTAGAGTGAGAGAATTTGGACTCACAGACATTGTCTCAGCAACCGCTACCATGGAGGCTATGACATCTGGCCAGGTACACATCATGATACAACTCCAAGATGGAAACTTCAGCTTGCAGCCAGAGGCATGTTAGGATGCACATTTTATCTTGAAAAGCACTCTTGGAATCCTGGAGAAAAACTGCCCAGGAGGGTTTTTCTAGAGTTGCCCAGACCCTGGTCCCAGATCCATGCCCCATCACACAATGCATGTAGGCGAGCTGTCAGTGAGGCAGGAACGTGACGGCACCCAGAGGAACTGGGCACAAATGTTCAGGTTGGCCTCACAAAAGCATTTCTTGAATCTTATCTGGCAACGTGACATTATTAGTAGATGATGCTATTTATGCATAAGGAGTGAGCACATGGGAGGACAGAACAAACTGCCACTGGGGAAGTTTCCCAAATACGCTGGCAACAAAAACAGCTGTCCTGATTCCTGATGTATTATACAGTTGCAGCCAGACAATGACTTGGGAGCATTTCAGCAGTATGTGGTTAACCTTGGCAAGACGAGAACATAGCTCAGACTCAGCGCTCATCCTACAGTAAGGCTGCTAAGCATTTGCAGGCTGTGGGAATAGATATGTCCAAGCTTGCAATGAATTTGCTTGGCTCCCTTACCCTCCTGGGCTAAAAACTGTCCAGTGCTTTCACAATCACAAAGCAATCACTGGCTGCATTTGGGAACAAAATAAAAACTGTAAAACTCATTCTCCTTTGGCACCTAGCACAGCACAAGGCCAAAGCTAAAACCGGCTGGTAATCCAATAGGGTTTGTGGAAACTAAGCTCGAAATACACGTGCACTTGACAATATGGCGGTATTTTTTGGGCACACCACCCAAAGTATAACCTAATTTACTACATTACTGTACATCTAAACTGTAACCTTGCCCAGTGTTTGACAGACAAGCTTCCTTCGGATGTTATTAATCTGTTTTATGGATTAAATCTGTAGAAGCAGGCTGCATATTTCAAGTCTGGATTACATGTTAATATACCATGTAGTATATCTTCTTTATTGGCGTTACAGGTATTACCTCAGAATAAATAATTATACTAGAAACAGTGTTAGCCACAAATAGTCCCATGAGACTGCTTATGGTGCAATATTCAGTAAATGACACGGTGGCAATTCTGTCAATTGCAATACCAACACATACAAACTTCCTCCTTGTTTCCCACGCAGGTGGAAGCTAGCAACACTCTAAAAGATGTCAGTGCTTCCTTGCTCACCGTAAACACAGAGGACAGCAGAGATGGTCAGAAGTTAAAAGATGCAGCCAACTATCTATTCAATGCAGTGAGCAATGTTGTAAAGGCTTCTGTAGAAATCAGATCTATGAACAGTTCAGTGCCAGAGGCAGAACAGGTAAACTTGGTTTGGTTGTTTGTAGTGGACCGTGTGTGAACATCTGCTGCTTCTCATACTTTTAAATTGGCATTGGGTACGGTTGATTGTGAGACCATGGTGGACTTGAATATCAAAGGACACTTCTCCCCAGTTAGGCCTGTTAGACCGAACAGTCTGCTATGGAAGATGATAGAAGCCTCTTAAGATTGGTTACACGTAAAGCTGAACAGGACAGAGCAGGAGAGAACACAGCATCAGTGTACAACCACTACATCAGTGTACAACCTCTAATGGGTGACAAGCACACACAGATTTTTTTCAGATTTGATTCTATCCCCTCCTTTTGCCCCATAATGCAAGGAAGCCACAGGTATTCAATGTTCATGACGGGCTCCGCTACTTCAAACCTGGAATCACTTCTGGTTGTGCTTACACTTCTTCAGAAAGCTCACTCTGGTTTTCTCTTCAGAATTACACAAGGTGTTTATTTTGCCCTATCCTTTCCTATCTCTGTGTGAATTGCCCCAGTTGCCTTTACGTGCTTCCTGGGCTGACATATTTAACTTTCATCACTGCAAGGGTAGGGCATGAAATAAATCTGAACAGATAGAAAAGGTTATGAACTGTTCAAACTCCCCCAGGATAACCAACTAACAACACACAATTAATACATAATTAGGTCTTGCTTTTGCAAGGAACAAAATACTGAAGCGTTCAGCTAAAGGCATTAATGCACAGAAGTGCAGGAATATGTTGCATTAATTTGATGTCATGTTTGTAAGGGTTCAAATCACAATGTGTAGAAGTTATAAATACTAGAATATAAAAGTAAAATCTGTAAGATATATTTGTTTGCTGTCTACAATGTTTTAATAAGAATTACAGACTGATTAAAACAACTTTCTCTGAAATGAAGCATCATCTCAGTTTGCCAGCTTTTTCAGACACTGAAAATTAGTATTTCTTCCTAAAAGGAAGCAAAGGCAAATAATGTGCAAATGGATGATTCTGAGGAGCTTTCTTGCAAGCATCCTCCTCTAATCCTTTTCCAGAGCTCGGTGTCGCATCAGCTCCTGAACACAGTTGAAAATCTGCAGAGTGCCCTTCTGTTTGGTAAAGAACCGGATGATGAACCAACAGTCCTTACCACTCCCTCTGCCACAATGTACATACACAGGTAACAGCAACAGCATCTCCCAGCCAAGCTCCTGAGAGTTCGCCACATTTACCCTAAATATTCATTACATTGTCCTTAAATGGACCCCCCCAACTAAATATTGTAGCCTAACGACGACGTCAGCAGTGCAATGAGGCTGTCATTACTAGCTGATAGGAAGAACAGCTTGGACTCCAATTAGCTGCAATAATGCCACCTTAGATACTCTCAGGTTGTGTCTTCTTTGACTAACGGAGAATTTACTATTTCCTGGATGAGGCAGTAACCTTTGAAATTACGTGGAAAACTCATGTCATGCCAGTTAAGGGTTTTTGGTCATTTCCAAGTTGCCAATAATGACATGTTCTGTAGAACTGTAACCAGCTTGGCAGAAGTAAATACAATCATGAGGAGCCTGATGAGCATTCTCCATTCCTTATCATCATCCCTGAATTGTTCCCCAAGAGCCTGGTTTTCATCCACATTTAATTGTGCATTCAAATCAAGAGCATGCTCACACGGAAACCAGGCATGTCTTTCACGTAAGTACACCTACTTGGGTACAACTGCCTATCTGCATGCACCAATTCCACCCCTTTTTGGATGATTCTATCGCAGTGTTATGTGGAGCACTACATCAGGGACAGGTAATGCACAAAGTATTTACTGGCACAGTGAGACACAGTTTTCCAGCTAAGTTATACTTAGAAAGTGAGAAACGTTTTTCTCTGGATATGAAGTTGGTGACACTGATATTTTTTCCTGTTTTGGTTTGGTTTTGTTTTGCTTTTTTTGCTTTTATTCTGTTCCGCTTGTGTCCAACCCTAACTGGACAGATTACAAACAGCGAACATGGATGGCACATCCATTAACATCTCCAATCCCAGCTCTGCCAGCTTTACTCTCCCACTTGCTTCCTCTCTCAGTGATTCAGGAGTTGATGATGAAACAGTGGATATAAGGGCAAGTAAACCGCTTTTACCTGACTCGGTCTGATACAGAACTTACATTCTTGGTCTAGTGGTTTTAGAATCCTTTCTCCTTTTACAATGAATACACAAGCACACAAGTCATCCCTCCTGTCATGTCAAGAAAATAATTTGAAATACTTTTGGTCAAAGAAGCCTTCACTTAAGTGCATGTGGTGGGTTCAGCAAGCTAAGGAGGACTGAAAGCTTAAATTCCCCATTCCATCAGCCCCTCACATACACTCCGAATTCATATTTGCATGGCTAGAGAAGGCAATGGAATGAATCACTACCTATAAATCTATCTGCTGCTTGTTTACATCTAATGCTCTGAGGAGGATGCAACAGCTCAAAGTCTCTATCACCATTAAAATTAACCTACAGCAGTCCTGTTTCATCCCAGCTAGAAACAAATGAGTCCGAGGCACTCAGATCCTGCAGGCGACAGAAGGCCTGCCAATGTCCTGATGATAACACATCGCTCATCTCAATTAGGATATGCTGGTTTTAGCCTCAGAACAATAGACTGCACATTATTGTTATATTTTTATAATAAATCTTCTCAAGGCCTCTCTGGTGGATTTGACACTCTCAGGAAACCCCACAATAACTGCAAAATATATAGGATTTTTCATTGTGTCTTCTTCCAGCTCTGTTAGAAAATGTCCAGAGCCCACTGAAACCAGTGGAAACACACCCGTTGTCTTACCTGAGCGTTAGGAGAAGCTTCTGAACCCTCTTGTTGGACTGACGACCCTGACATACTCTGCTGCGTGTTGCTATCACAGCAGAAATAGACTTCTTTTTCTATTTCCAAGGGGGGTGCCACAGTCCAGCTTTGGTGGAGTTACTCTGAAAGGGGCTTATGCAATTGCATTTTGAATTTGGGTGTCTGAAAGCCAAAAGGGTTGCAGTGAATAGAAACAATAAATATTGCTGTACACATACCACATTTCAGAATCAAAATCACTTCCAAGGTTTGTGTTTGACCTACATTAAAGATAAGGCAGCTCCTTATTTAAATCTGGGTGCAGGCTTCTTTTAAGTCAAGTACTGTTTGGGTCTGAGCTCAAGCTGTCACTATTCAGCAAGTTATAGAGTGTGAATATAATCAAACATTGACAGCTCAAAACTGATTGTTGCTGTCTTTCTAATAGATGGTGAGCTTCGCCGTGAATCCCTTCTTCTCCAGTGACACCAGTTTTGACATCACAGGAACAGTGGGAGGCCTAAGTCTTACTGGTCTGGATGGCTTGATCATACCAGTCAATGATCTCAAAGAAAACATTGAGGTAAACCCACTGTTTTCTATCCCTCTCCCTCTTTTCCTGATTTATTTCTTTCTCTGTTCATGAACTGTCATTTGTGTTGTCATCTCCCGAGATGACTGCAAATGGTGGTAGTGTTCGTTACATTACATAATGGGATCGTGGGGCGTGCATTTGTGATGGAGGGACTTGTGTGAAGAAGTATATAACAGATATTCTGTCTTCTCTTAAAAAAGAGGTACCTTAATTCTTCATTTAAATGGTTGAGAGAATGCTAATGGTTGTGGAAAGAGACTCCAGATTACAGCCGTCCCGAAACACAATGTCATGTCTGATTTCATCATCCAACCACCGTATGTTCATCTTACTGCTGTCTGGGGTTCTTAGCCCACGTGTAAGCTTCCATCTAAATCGTTCATATATGCACTTCATGTAGCCAGTGTTTCAGTTACAATCTCAGCCCTTCATTCAGAAATGCACCAAGGATCACAGACTTTGGTATGAGTTTACATAGGTCCCAAGTGAACTTTCCAGAGGTTAGCTGACTCTATCAAGAAAATTACTTTGAAGCCAGTGTTTTGGCTGGTCATGCTTTCCCTGTGTTACGAGAAAAGACTGTCTAGCATGTGGCTATATCATGCTTACAGATAACAGAAGCAAGATGCTTTGCAGTATTTAAAGCTATGTCTTTCTGCTTAAAACCAGATAATGTTACCAAGGCTTTCAGCGACTCAGGAAGACAAGATTCTGCTGAATCTGGGCAATTTTAGCACTTTCCAAGTCAATGTCACCTCAGAAAACATATCTATAGTGATCCACCTGGAATCTGAACATGACATTCCACTAATACTCTACTTAGGGTATGGTTATCGTCCAAATGAGACTACCTATGATATGAAAAATCATCTGTTCTCAAAGAAAACTCCTGGAGGTAAGACAACTTGTTAGCGACCCATGAACTTGTGCATTCTGGGCTTTCACCACCCATAGCCAGTTAAGGGCACATCATATGGGGAGTGCTCATCCACAGCTTCACAGCACACCCATATTTGCAGGATGAGCCTTGACCATGAGTTCAGGCGTCTAACTGGAAAGAAACCTCTGGAAGGGGTTTCAGTTTGTCATGCTCCAGGGTTCCAATCCAGTATAGAGTG